TCACTTTCCATTGCCAGTTTCAATTCTTTCTCTTTTTTTGGGTGCCATAATGTGGATCCACAATGCATTAGTTGCTGGTGTTTTAGGTTGCCTTTTTTTCCTAAAAAAAAAAACAAACTTGAAACTTATAATCAACCATTCAATTCCTGGTAATGACTCCATGGTTACGAAGATTTTTATTTTTATTTTTAATTTACAAATGTTGGTTCAAATCTTTCTGCTATTCATAAGTTATGCACTTACATCCCAGTTCTAAGATATTATCTCCAAATCTACATCATGACTGATATTATGACTCTTACGTTGGAAAACCAAGTTCTTAAATTGATTCTCATTTTACTTAAAAATGTTTCCTTCAAATTTGCATCATTAGGAATAATTTGTTTTATATCACTTCCACAATTGCCCTCTTTAGTTATGCTCTTGGTCACTCCATCCTCCTTCAAAACTTTATATTGTCAGAGCTTGCAAAGTATTGCTAAGTTGTTTTCTAAGAAGGCTTTTACGTGATGTGTATTTTTTTTATCACTTTCCATCCCAGGGATGCACATACTACTGGCTTAGTAAAATATCGAGAACCATATCCATTTGGTGTGGATCCCAGCTGGCGGGGAAGTCGATCAGAATTGCCTTTTCTAAACTCTCTCAAGATGAAGATGTCCATTCTGTTTGGTGTGGTGCACATGAACTTGGGAATTATATTAAGTTATTTCAATGCTCATTTCTTTGGCAGCTCACTGGATATAAGGTGGACACTTTTCTTCTAACTTCTTCCCACAGTTAATGTTTTTTCTTTCCTTTGAGTATAATGCTGTAATATACTCTTTTTGATGTTTTTAGGTACCAGTTTGTGCCACAGATGATTTTCCTTAATTGTTTATTTGGGTATCTTTCCCTTCTCATCATTGTTAAGTGGTGCACTGGCTCTCAGGCAGATCTTTATCATGTAATGATTTACATGTTTTTAAGCCCTTTCGACAATCTTGGTGATAATCAATTGTTCTGGGGCCAAAGACCACTTCAAGTATGATTCATTTCTTTGCTTCTTTATTGCTTAATAATTGTTCCTTTCCTATTTTACATCATTCTGAGTTACTGTTCATGATATGCAGGTTGTGTTGTTGCTTTTGTCTGTAATTGCAGTTCCGTGGATGCTCTTTCCAAAACCTTTTATGCTAAAGAAGCTTCATAATGAGGTGCCACTTTTGCCTCCCATGCGTGTGTGATTTTATTTCTTGAAAATTGAGAACGTTGTTCACCACATTTTTTGTTTAATTGTTAATATTTTCACATTACACACATATCCTTGTTGGTTTGATTTTCCCCTTTTGATAAAAAAAATTCTTAGGTTATCAAGTTAATTCTCTTGGAGGTCCACGATAAGATCATTTTTCTAAAGACTAAATATGCAAGTTTCAAATCACTTACAACCTCTAATGGCTATACAGACAATTTTTAGCTACACAGTTGCCCCAATCCTATACTTCTGTTAGCATCTATTTATTAAAGAAGTGCTAGGAGTTTATAAAGATTACTAATCTTTTACATTTATGATAATCTAGAGATTTCAAGGACGCACTTACGGTGTGCTTAATTCCTCTGAGGTTGATCTTGAGTTGGAACCAGGTTCTGCCAGGCAACGTGACGATGACTTCAATTTCACAGAAGTCTTCGTTCACCAAATGATTCACTCCATTGAGTTTGTTCTAGGTTCAGTTTCAAATACGGCCTCATATCTACGACTTTGGGCATTAAGGTTTGGTCAGCTATGATTGACTCATTGTCTTGGGTCCTTATTTTATCAAAGTATTCATCCTTGGTTGATATTTTTTACCAAAATGCAGCTTGGCTCACTCAGAACTTTCTACTGTTTTTTATGAGAAAGTCCTGCTACTTGCTTGGGGGTGAGTTTGATTCATAATATTTCGTTAATATGACATACTATTTCCTTTATTATTTTTGGATCCCCCTCCCCAACCAATGGGCATCCTGTGACAGACAAAATTATAATGTATAATTAAAGTTGTCTGAATGGTTACAATGAAAAGCAAATAAAGGAAAAGGTTTTCATAGTCCACAAAACCAAACTTGATCTTTTGAGCAGAGAAGACTCAAAGTACAACACCTGGAAGATGTGATATTTTTGGTGTGAACACAGAGGAAGGGTGGCTGCAATAAATTGCATCATTTATATTTTGTTATTTTGAAGTACTGTTTTATGTTTGATCTATGGCAATAGCATGCATTAGTTTTGATATATTTTTTTGATATTGTGCAAGTAACATCTATAGATTTTGTTTGGAATCTCACATCGACTAGAAGTAAGACAAGTGTTCTAGAGATAAAATCAATTTATAGTATATAAATAGATACAAGTCTCATATCATATTATAAGTCGGTTTTGTTGGGTTAAGTTAAACTTAAAGTCTAGTAAATTGGGATCACGGTATGGAATGAGCAGCATTACTGCATTGGTGACAGTTAGAAACTCGGATAAGTCAGTAAGGTATTTGAATGGTGCAGAGTAATTTTGAACAGATCATGTGCATATGGCTGACATAATTATCTTAAAATTAAACCAGTAGAGCCTTCTGTGTAATGTATTTTGCACGAGCCATTTGCAAATTTAGATTAGCGTGACGTCTGTGATAAGTTTGCATTCCCTTTTCGGCCTTTATCGATTTTAGTATCAGTTTTTAATATTCAATTGTTGATATCATCGCTGGTTGCAATTATAACAGGTATGACAATCTTATCATTCGGTTGCTCGGACTAGCTGTCTTTTCCTTTGCAACTGCCTTTATACTATTAATGATGGAGAGTCTCAGTGCTTTTCTTCACGCGTTGCGTCTTCACTGGGTGGAATTTCAGAATAAGTTTTACCATGGCGATGGATGCAAGTTCAAGCCTTTTTCCTTTGCTTCCTTAACAGAGGATGAAAGTTGATCCATTCTTGTCTGTCTTGGAACAACACTGTTGGCAAATATGTGCAAAAAGCATATATACAAAAGTAGAAGAAGGAACACAATTAGAAATTGTGGGATCCACTTTAGTGGCTATAACTACTGGTTTGCTTGATAATTTCACCCAGCAACAATATTCTAGCTCATTTTCCCATGCCTATGCTGGTGTGACAGATTTAGACCAACAGTAATGAACGGCATCTGTAACAGAATGTTTACTTTCTAATTTTTCTTTTTCTTTCTTAGACTAGGAGAATGGGAAGAGATTAGGGAAGGGAATGGTTAGACTAATTTTGTAAAAAGAAATCCATCATAGTTTATCTATTGGTTATTTGGGGTTACATATACACACATAATGTAGCGCGGGCCTTCATAGGATACAGTCATGTAGGCGTTTACTCTGATTTTTTTCTTGTAATGATTAATGATTAATCACAAGTTATAGAACCACCTATGTGATCTGGTTTGGTATCTGTGCCCTTCTCTGGCAATAAAATAAAGTGATGTTCCAAATATCCTTTTTACGGACAGCTACCGACAGGTTTAATTTATTTATTCATCGTGCTTTATTTTTTTCCAAAAAAAAGTATATATGCATAGGTTATTTATCACTTTTATTCACAGTTCTCTCTGGTTTGGTATTACCTGAGTAATTTCATTAGATTAATTTATGAAAAATAGTTATTAGTTAGTTTAGTCATTTACATTATGAAGAGAGGAAAATTGTCCACCGTAACTAAAATATATAGCATTTTGATAATTTCTGCTGATTTGAGGTAAAAGGTTAAAATCCGTCCGTTTGTGAATTAGAATTACACACTTTTTTTTTCCTCCTTTTAAGAGTGTTTAATAAATATCTTGTAAGTTATCATGGTAGTTTGAGGATTTTTAAAAGTATTTACATTATTAAGATTTTGTAATTTAAATTCAAAACCATTATAAAATATGAAGTTATAAGATTTGAAAGGATTTTATGCATATAAAATAATCAAAGGAAAAGTAAATCAAAAGTATTTTATACTTTTACTCTAAAATACATCTTTATGCATTATTATATTCTAGAAAATTGCATTTTAGTTGTAGACTAATACCAGGGAAAACCATTTGTATAATGTGATATATCGATCGATACATATCCAAGTAAATTAATCATTTGTTCAATAGGACCTATCGATAATTAATAGGTTTGATTATTCTCAACTCTATAAATAAAGGTTTGATGTGTATATTTTGAACTTCTTGAAACACATCTAACTTGAGTGTCGAAGTATTTTTTACAGGTCAACGGTTTGGAGCAAATTGGAGAAAAAGCAAAGACAAGAGGCCCGAGACAAACAAGTCTAAACAACCGTTCATCGACTTTACAAACTCGAAACAAGTTGTATCATCTATACGAAGTTGTATCATCTATATGCATATTTATCATATTATATATATTATATTAGAGAAAAAAATCAACACTTTATGATTTTTTTTTAAATGCTAAATACACCTAAACATAAAAATATTATGACTAAATACATAATAAATCATTATAAATACAAATATTTCGTATAAAAAGATGATACAACCGTATGTATGTAATTTTATTTTATGTCTACTAAAACACGAATTATTTCAAACGATAAATACATAAAAGTTAATTAATCTCAAACTAAATGGAAGACAGATAAATGTTTACCCCATATTTTAGGAATTGTCTATTATTTCTGTTAATAAAAAAAAATACATTGAACAAAAAACATACAAATATATAAAATAAATTAAGAAAACAAACATCAATCCACCTCATCATTCAATTTATAGTGTCCTCAAAATGTAAGCTGATTTGAACTTACTCATTCTTTATTAAATCCGTTGGTGAGCAACCGGATTAGCTTGTTTTAACACTTCTACACGATACAAAATACAGGTAGTTTTAAAAGATGAGCAGGTAGTTTTAAAAGATGAGGAGTGTAGGAAGTAAATATTGAGTTTCAGAAAGTAATTGACCAAACCAAACCCATGTGGGCCCAATTATATTTATTACTACCCACCCTACCGTTGTAACACTCCCGCTCACTGTAGTTTGAAATTCCGAACGAATTTGCAGAAGCAGACACAGTAATCTATTCATTCCAAATCCAATTACCAATTCATGGAAACACAAAGCTACAACTAACAGAAAAGGAGTGATAATATCGTATTATCATGGATTCCGTTTCTAACATTCCGCTTCTAGACGAAGACGATTCGTTGCTCTTCGATGATTCAGCACCGGCCACCGCAGATGTCTTCTCTTGCTCCCCTCTCATACCTATCAGATCGATTCCTCTTCAAACCGGTTAGTATTTTTTGCTATGGAATTCTCTCTTTTTGTTTTCCATTTCTGGATGATTTTTTTTATGAATAATTGTTGATTTAATACTGATTTACGCAATGCACCTGCAGAAAACGGAGTTGCGGATTCTGAAAATCGAAATTCCTCCGTTAGTGACAGTGCGAACAAAGAGAACGCGGATTGGAACAAACTGCAGAAGCTTAGCTTGGAGCCTCATCAAATGAAGAAGAAGAAGAAAGGAGGCGGTTACAATTTGCGCAAGAGCTTGGCGTGGAATCGAGCTTTCTTTACTGAAGAAGGCACTATCTTCTCTCCATTATCCGTTAATTAACAATGAAAACCGATCACTCTAATTGTTCTATTATTTGATTGATTGATTAATTAATTAATTAATTAATTGGTTGATTTGTTCTGAATCTTACTTTTCAGGTGTTTTGAATTCGGAGGAGCTTTCTATGATTAGTGGCACTGCCTCTTCTAAGTCAGGGTTGGATTTGGAAGTGATCCACGAAGAAGAGTACGTAGGTACATCGTTAAATTTGCAGGAGATTGAAGAAAATTTGTTTATGCATTCATCCGATGCTCTTCCTTTTGAAGATAGAAAGATTGGTGCTCGGTTTTCTCCAAAGCCTGCTGCATTAGCCAAAGCTTCTACTGCCCCGGTTTCATCGGTCAGTCTTTATACTCTTTGCGCGAAAGATGATAGTGTATAATTGAACTCTTCTGATTTATGTCACTCGTTACTTTGTTTACTTGTTGGTTAGGCCAAGAGGAAAATAATTACTGTCAATGACTCCGTTGGCAACAGACCTAAACGCAATGCTTGTCCTCCACGGCTGCCAGTAGCTTCGTCCTCATATCCTTGTCATTTCTTGTTTAGGATAGATATTAAGTGGAGTGTCTCTGCTATGGAATTGAGTTGTTTTTTCTTTCTTTCTCTGTCGAATTATGGAAGTGTTTACCTTGACCCCTTTGCAAATTAAAAAGACCTAGCACAGTGAAAGCGCCGAGTAAAGAAGTGAAAGTCGCCAGGACACCTGGTCCTAAATTGGATGTTTCTGCCAGTACAACAACTGCTAGGAGTCGAATCTTGACCTCAGGTTTCTCCAAGAGAAATCAGAATGCACCTCCTGGTATACTGTTCAACTCGCTTTTGTTTCTTCCTTTTTATCTTATGAACTTTGACAAGACTAAATAGAAGAGATACAACTGTTGCATAATACAATGTGAAAATAGATCATCTAATAAATTTATTTTTGATTGAGGTTTGTGATCTCAATGAGCTTTTCTAACTTTTACATGACATGAATTTAGCGGTAATATTTAGTTAATTTTGTTTCTGTTCTACAGCCACTAATCCTCTGAAGCACGCTGGAGTAAAAGCCTTGTCAAAAAATCCTAAAACCATCCCAAGTAACCCTAAGGTTGTTCATGCTGATAAAGGTTCGGTTACCAGAACACTAGCCACGCCAGTTGGGAAACACTTGGTAGGAACTTTAAACTTCTGGAGGCTGTGATTTTATAACATTTATCAAGTTTTCAATTCCTTTTACTTAACTAGTAGTCTCATGATTCGTCTCTTGAAACTTTTTGACTGCAAAGAATAACTCAGTTGAAACACATCCACCAGCCAGAAAGATTCAGTCAGGAACTGAAGCAAATAAGGTGTCAGAAACTAGTCTCTCACGAGGCCCATCTGACGTTAGTGAGAAAAAGCAAGAGACACAACTTCAAACAACAAAATTATCAGGCCTGCGGATGCCATCTCCCTCACTGGGATTCTTTTCTATAGTGTGTGATTTTATTTGGTTCTTTTATTTTATTTAAGTACATGTATCATGAGTAATATAATGCTCATGTGACGATTTCATATTCATGTTTATTACTTATTTGCAGGCAAAAGCTCCCAGTTCACATAGCCAATTACAGAAAACTTCTAAACCTTGCAAGCCTGCTAAGAGTAACATTCTTAAATTACAGAATTTAGAAACAAATTCTGTTAATGAGGCAAGACTCAAACATGCACCTGCGATGAGGTCTGAAATTGTCAAAGGGAAGAATTGCACTGAGGAGTTAAGCCTTTTAGATGAAAAGTCAGAATTGAGCATGCAAGTGGATGATAAGCAGATGACTTGTGTAGAAGCGAAAGATAATTCTGTGGGCTCTGAAAAAATAAGCAAGCAAGAAAATGTTGAAAACATTCTTGGTAATGTCAACGTAACATACGAGGAACACGGAGAACTATGTAGCAGTAATAATGCTTCTAGCGTGGAGGATGCGGTATTTCCTAGACATGAAAAAAAGCTTCTTTCAGAGAGTCACGCTCAAGTGCAATTGGAGAAAGAAACTGGTCAGCCTGATGTTTCGTTAAAAGGGTATCAATCTGTATTGCAGCAACGACTATCGATGCACCATCATGGTGGTGCTGCTGATCTTGTTAAAAGTGGAGGAGATGCTCAAAAACATTTGTTGAAATGGAATCTCTCAGTCAATTGTAGTGAAACGACCGAAAGTAATTTAGAGGCAGTTAATCAACAGTTCCAGGGGGAACAACTTAAGACTACAAGTGCTGTTAGGGTGGGGGAAATCATGTCAACAAGAGAAAGTGAATCTCATGTAAATAGTTGTCAGAAGTCTGCACCAGAAATCAAATGTGCTGCTGCAAGTGAACCAAAAATAGAGAGAACAATTTTATTTGAGGGTGCATTATGTGATATGTATACAAGTGAAAACAGTGCTTCCAATAATCATAGTCAGGCTATGCCTGAAAACAAAGATGGAAATATTTGTATGGATGATTTGCCAATCGATGATGCAAAAGAAGGTTATTCTAACATGTTGCCTTTAGATGAATTTCAACTCAATGGCAACATTCAGAAAATGTCTGAAAACAAAGATGGAGATCTTGATATGGATGATGTCAAAGACGGTTCTTCTGATATATTGCCTCTAGTTGAAGTTCAACTCGATGACAACATTCAGGCCATTACTGAAAACAATGGAAGAAATCTTGATATGGATGATTTGCAAACGGATAATGCAAAAGAAGGTTCTTCTGACATGTTTCTTTCAGTTGAAGTTCAAGTCAATGACAACATTCATGATATGTCTGAAAACAGTGATGGAAACATTGATATGGATGATTCAAAAGAATGTTCTTCTGTCATATTGCCTTTAGTTGAAGTTCAACTCAGTGACAACATTCAGAAAATGTCTGAAAACAAAGATGGAAATCTTGATATGGATGATGTCAAAGACGGTTCTTCTGATATATTGCCTCTAGTTGAAGTTCAACTCGATGACAACATTCAGGCCATGACTGAAAACAATGGAAGAAATCTTGATATGGATGATTTGCAAACGGAAAATGCAAAAGAAGGTTCTTCTGACATGTTTCTTTCAGTTAAAGTTAAAGTCAATGACAACATTCAGGATATGTCTGAAAACAGTGATGGAAACGTTGATATGGATGATTCAAAAGAATGTTCTTCTGTCATATTGCCTTTAGTTGAAGTTCAACTCAGTGACAACATTCAGGCTATTTCTGAAAACAATGATGAAATTCTTGACATGGACAATGCAAAAGAAGGTTCTTCTGATATATTGCCTCTAGTTGAAGTTCAACTGGATGACAACATTCAGGCCATGTCTGAGAACAATGAAAGAAATCTTTTTATGAATGATGCAAAAAAAGATTCTTCTGACATGTTGCCTTTAGTTGAAGTTCGAGTCAATGACAACATTGTGGATGTGTCTGAAAATAGTGATGGAAATCATGATATGGATGATTCAGAAGAATGTTCTTCTGACATATTGCCTTTAGTTGAAGTTCAACTCATTGACAACATTCAGGCTATTTCTGGAAACAATGATGAAAAGCTTGACATGGACGATGCAAAAGAAGGTTCTTCTGAGACATTGCCTCGAGTTGAAGTTCAACACGATGAAAATATTCAGGCCATGTATGAAAACAGTGAAAGAAATCTTTATATGGACGATTTGCAAGTGGAATATGCTAAAGGTTCTTCTGACACGTTGCCTTTAGTTGAAGTTCAAGTCAGTGACAACATGCAGCATGTGTCTGAAAACAATGAGGGAAATCTTGATATGGATGATTCAAAAGAATGTTCTTCGGACATATTGCCTTTAGTTGAAGTTCAAGTCAATGACAACATTATATCTTCTGAACGCATTTCTTCTTCAGCAGTGAACAAAGATTCTTTTGCAGATGTAGTTGCCTGGAAACCTGAGGAGCGTTGTTCTTTAAGTGAAAGTTCAAATTTACCAGCTTCAGATCATCTAACCTTCAACCTAGATGAATTTTCCGATACTGACATGCTATATCAGTCCAAAGGTGGCATTTACTTTGCAGAAGACAACAGAAAAATAATTCACTTGTGAGTATCTTAGTTTATTCTGATATNGGCCATGTCTGAGAACAATGAAAGAAATCTTTTTATGAATGATGCAAAAAAAGATTCTTCTGACATGTTGCCTTTAGTTGAAGTTCGAGTCAATGACAACATTGTGGATGTGTCTGAAAATAGTGATGGAAATCATGATATGGATGATTCAGAAGAATGTTCTTCTGACATATTGCCTTTAGTTGAAGTTCAACTCATTGACAACATTCAGGCTATTTCTGGAAACAATGATGAAAAGCTTGACATGGACGATGCAAAAGAAGGTTCTTCTGAGACATTGCCTCGAGTTGAAGTTCAACACGATGAAAATATTCAGGCCATGTATGAAAACAGTGAAAGAAATCTTTATATGGACGATTTGCAAGTGGAATATGCTAAAGGTTCTTCTGACACGTTGCCTTTAGTTGAAGTTCAAGTCAGTGACAACATGCAGCATGTGTCTGAAAACAATGAGGGAAATCTTGATATGGATGATTCAAAAGAATGTTCTTCGGACATATTGCCTTTAGTTGAAGTTCAAGTCAATGACAACATTATATCTTCTGAACGCATTTCTTCTTCAGCAGTGAACAAAGATTCTTTTGCAGATGTAGTTGCCTGGAAACCTGAGGAGCGTTGTTCTTTAAGTGAAAGTTCAAATTTACCAGCTTCAGATCATCTAACCTTCAACCTAGATGAATTTTCCGATACTGACATGCTATATCAGTCCAAAGGTGGCATTTACTTTGCAGAAGACAACAGAAAAATAATTCACTTGTGAGTATCTTAGTTTATTCTGATATTATTTGGTCAATTACGCTTTGACAACCCTTTCATTTCTACACCTAACATCGTTTGAATGACAGACATGAATCTGCTGCTAAAAGCAAGCAGGAAGTTCTTACAGGGAATCTTCCAACAAATGCTGCTCCATTTTCTGATGAATGGTTTACTGCAATCGATTCCGCTGAACAGGTGACTTATAGATTTATCGACTGCACGTGCATGTTCTTAATGATAGTTTTTTGCATATGGTGGTGTTTCATGCCACTTTGGTGGTTGTTTTTCTGCTTTCAATTCTTACGATGCTTTTTTTTTGGGCTTTAAACGTTGATCCTTTTATAATAATGATTTTTTGGTTTTCTTTGTTGAATTATGGTCTTTTTTTTGTGCATTTAGAAGTTGAATCAAAATCCCCCCCGTGGAGATAGGCGGGAAACTGTTGCTTGTGATACTGAGGTAAGCAATGTTTTTGTGGAAAGCTGACCTTTCAGTGAGAATGATGGAGAAAATCTCCACTTTATAGCCCAACTATTTCCAATGGTGAAAGAAGATTTAGATTCATGTATCAACTAATAACTGCAGTACCATTTTTGAGTTGCAGCTTCGAGATGATGGTTCTTCTAGGGATGCTTCTATTCAGCATCATGTTCACGGTGATGTGACGGGAAACATTGATCAACAAACTAGCACGAGTACATATTCTAAAGCTGAAGAAATGCTTTGTGAGTACAAGAGTTTGGAGGCAAATCATGATGACGTGGTTGATCACAATCAATTTTCTGAAGTATGTGAAGATTTCATTTCAAACACCAAAGATTCTATGGGCAGTGGAGCAGAAAAACCTTCTGACCATATACAGCATTCACTATTGGGTCAGTTTGTCGACGAATTTAATCAGACTAACAGAGAAATTGAGGAATCACATTTGACCACACAAGTGCAGTCACTTACTGAAAACCCAGTGTTATACAACTGCAACAGTAAACAATGTCTTGCTGTTTCTTATGGTAAGTTTCCATTGGCCGCCAGTGACAATGTAAATGAAAATTCTCAAGATCCTGATTTTCAAGGGCCTTGTGCTATTGTTGGTGTAGATTTCCAGAATGTTGATGACATACAGTTACCCTTGGATGGTAATTGGCTGTCCACAAATACAGCTTCTTCTGAAGAAACCAAGAAAACAAATTTGTCTGAAAATGCATTAAAAGGATGTGATGTCCGTACAGGTGAGTACAAGGCTTCCAATGACCATATTCAGGCCATGCCTGAAAACGAAGATAGATATCTTTATGCGGATGAGAGGCGAGAGCATTTGCAAACGAATGGTGCAAAGAAAGGTTCTTCAGACATATTGCCAGCAGTTGAAGTTCAACTCAAAGACAACGTTGTATCTTCTGAATGCAATTCGTTTATAGAAGAGAGCAAAGACTCCTTTACAGATGAAGTTGCTTGGAAACCTGAAGAGCATCGTTCAAGTGAAAGTTCAAGCTTACCGGCTTCGGATAATCTTGCCTCCAACAAGAGAGTCCAGCAGGTCTGTGAAATTAGTTTGTTGAACTCTACAACTTTTTCAGAAGAAGCTGGAACTAATATTTTTGAGAAAGACGAGTCTCCTAATACCGACATGGAGCACCAATCAAAAGGTGACATTAATTATGCAGAAGACAGCAACAAAATAATTCATTTGTAAGTTTCTTAGTTCTTGATAATATTTGATAATCAGTTTGGAAATTCCTTCGTTTCTACTTCTGAGATACGGTCTTGATACTTGACAAGTTGAGTGATGCAAATTAATATTTTGAATGGCAGGCAGGAATCCGCAACTCAAAGCAAGCGGGAAGTTCCTACATTGAAGCCTCCGCCAAATGCTGCTCCATTTTCTGAAGAATGGTTAGCTGCAATTGAAGCCGCCGGAGAGGTGACAGATTTTATGACTGATTAATAGCTTTTCGCATGGCGCGATTTTTCATGTCACGTAGTGTTGTTTTTCTATTTTCAATTAGCATCACGGCATTATATAAAGTATGTTCTTTGCAATGTTAGATTCAATTTACACCTGGTGTTGACAGGAGATCTTAACGATGAAAGGCGGTGCTGTACAAAATTCTCCCACTGAGAAGCCTCAGCACGAACCTGGTCCTTGGTCCCCGGTAGGTTCATACTTCGCCCTCTAAACCTGATTCAAGTTTTAAACCTAGAGATCTAGCATGACAATTTACATTTTTTTAATCGGATGATAAAGTAAACTCACATACCTATGAATTCTCTAACTGAATTGTGTATAATTCAGTCTCTATTTTTACAGTTTTAAATAAAGGGGACCCTATCAAGATTCATAAATATTTATGGAAAGATAACACAATGTTGATAGGACGAGGTCACTTGAAACAACACGAATAAAAAAGAACTTATCATGCCTTTGTAGTTTCAGAAAATTTGGAGAATATTTAACTTTTTTTATCGCTTAAAAAGAAGTAATGTGCGTGAGAATTAAGAGCACTTGGTGTTGGAACTCCTGCTACTATTTTGCACATTAGAATTCGGATAATTTAAAAATTTTGGACATTATTTATAAAATATCAAGTTTTAATATCTTTCGAGAAATTATACTAAAGCTGCTCGAGTTTCATGCTCCGAGCTCAGTTTGTAAAGATGAGAAAAATCCTCGCGAAACATCTGGAAATCAAACCGTGAGTATGATATTGCAGGAAACCCTATCAGTTACAGTCAAATGATTGCTATTTTTGAATTGGACTCAACTTTTTAAATATATAATATTAAAACGATTTTTTTAATTAACAAAATTTAAATAATTGTTGGTAAAAGTGGAAAATCAAATGTAGAGAAAAGAACTCATGATATTATTATGTACCAAGTGGAGTAATTTTCTTACCTAGAAAATATTCAAGAAACATATATGCACCCCATTTTTACAACTTTGAGGTTCAAACCCGTTTACCAATCAGTTTCTCTTATGTCATGAATCTCTTTTTATCTCTATATATGTTTGTATTTTGACATTATTGTGTGTAACATTAATTTCTTGTATATTTTTATTTTTATTTTGGTTTTTGCAGGTGAGACGTAAGAATCAATCAATTGGACCCTTTGATTGTACCAAACACAATATCCAGCCTTCCAGTTCATAATGACAAAACTGAGATTCAGTCCTTAGTAAATTACTAACCAATTTTTCTGCTACGCATATAGAATTGCCGGTTACCAGAATCATGCCATAGTCTGAAGATGCCCGATAAATAAATAGTAAATAGTATCCTGATTCAGATTGTTCTCGAATTGTAAATGATATTTTTTCTTCTACTTATTACAAAGAACTTTTTGATTTTTCCACGAGCTATATATTATGAGGGTAATTAATCTCCACTTTTTTTGCATTCATTTTCACCTTCTTTTGCATGATACTTTTTCATTGATAGGAAAGGTTATTCAAACAAGCATGAAAAAGCTTATATCTTATCCATAAAAGATGAGGTTCTGAATAGAGGTTAAGTCATATCCTGAATCTGATTACTTGCATACCTTTATTGTTGACTTAAACTCGGCTAGATGTCTGGAAAACTATAATTAACCCCATCTTTTTACTAGCCTGATGTTATAGATCAAGTAGTTATATAAAAAAAGTGGAATAAATGTAGACATAATATTGTAAGGAGACTCATTGTCACAGAAACATGTTAATGTAAATCTATATATATCATACTCAAGACACACGTTAAACTTAAAAATTAGAAAAGTCAGACCAAGTTTCGTTCATTCAATTTTCTGAACCATTACAGGAACTACTCTTAAGGGTTTGCTCACTGAATTCAAATCCACTATACATATAATATAGCAGAAAATAGATAAAACTAAGATACAAGAAGTTACAATGCAAATAACTTAGGCAGGATACATGATGAGTAACCCAAGCCCAAAAGAAAATAAAATAATAAATAACCCATCAGGGTTAAAAAAAAAATTGTGGAGCCTAATATCGTTGCATGGCACTTTACAACAAAAGGGCACTCACCAAGACGTAGTTGCACCTAACTAGTCACACTGATTGAATAAAATACCTAAGGAGCTTGGCTGGGAACAAGATTGAAATACTTGATACTTTCCTGCTTGTAAGGAGCGAACTTAGTGATTAAAAAATGAAGATTTTTTTTTATTTTTCCTTCTAAAGATACAACTTACAAGTCCTTGATTGAGTCTTTCTGCTTTAAGCATGCTCAGGATTGAGTGCTAATGCTTCCCTGTATATCATCTCTTTTATTTGCTCTTCATCCAATGGTTGTTGCTCAAACTCAAAAGAGAATGGCTCCATGCAGATTGGTTCATCAGCTACATCATGCAGTTTTTCAAGGTATGGATGGGCTAGCGCTTCTTCAACTGCCAATATTTAAACAGAAATATATAAAAAAAATTGCCCATTTTCATTCAATATGTAGGTTTGCATATATCATCAATGTTCAAAATGAACCTACATGTAGCTTCATCCAGATACAAAATTATAAATAAAAAAAAATATGACAGGAATGGGAAAGGTACCTGTAATTCTTTTGGTGGGATCAATTGTCAACATTTTATCAACAAGATCAATGGCTGCGGGATGAACATGGGGGAAGACCTGAGCTAAAGGTTGGCGAGGATATTGAGGAAGCTGTCTAATATATCTTCTTGCGTCTTCATTTTTTACTAACCCAAGGTCAGCATCAGTTGGGGTGCCAAGAAGCTGTGGATAAGACAAGAAGCGTAAGCATGGAAATAAAATTAATTTTTAAAATTGAACTACTGACTATATTATCCATGGTATTAAATAATTTGAAACATGTCATCCTCGAATTTCAAGAGAGCCTACGGCAAGCATTTTATGCAATTTTTTAGGTCATTGTCTTTTCTTGTTTTTTCAATCTCACCTCTGTCAATAGGCGCATCTGATGCACATGGTCTTTGCCTGGAAAGAGAGGTTTTTTATTCATAAGCTCCATGAAGATGCAACCAACAGACCACACATCTATCGCAGAGGTGTAATCTGAGGAGTTCAACAATAATTCGGGAGCCCTATACCATCTTGTGACTACGTATTCTGTCATGAAGTCACTTTCCATAGTTGGTCGGGCAAGACCAAAGTCAATAATCTTCAAGTCGCAATTAGAATTCAACAACAGGTTGCTCGGTTTTAAATCTCTGTGGATTATGTTTGCAGAATGTATATACTTTAGCCCACGGAGAATCTGATACAAAAAGTACTGCAAGTACAAGAGCATCCAATCATCAGAAAAACAAAAGGTTCCAATTTGAAAACATAGTAATCATGATACATAGAAATTAAAAAACAACAGCTTGAGAGCACTCACTTGGCAGTGCTCCTCCGAAAGACTTTGATTAGAGCGAATGATATGATGAAGATCAGTATCCATGAGTTCCATCGCTATGTAGACATCATTAAACTCTCTACGCAATGGTGGAGGAATAACATCTCTCAAACCAATTACCTGATATCCAAACAGACATATTAATCACAACAAATTAGACACTGCTTTTACATTCTATTAATCCACATTTTTTATGATTTTCACTATAGTGAAACCTTAAAGGTGTACCAACACAACCAACTTGTTTCATAAGATAAATTAAATTCAATGTTATTAATAGCAAACGTTTATAACCAAATCCCAGTTCCATGTTATCATGTGTTCCCCAAATTAGGAAGTCATGCTCAATCTCGGGACTTGACCCTGCTAAATCCCAACAAACGAGTCGCCACTCGCTTGTATTTTACTGGCATTTAATGCTTCTACAAGTTTTCGTAAATAAGTTATACAAAATCTCAAAAGAATTTAGGTTTTAATTTCTTCACTACTGTATAAAAATGTCAACTAATGATATAATTTTGAAGATACTGACTGTAAAATTAACAATTTTATCATATCAAGTTGTGATTAGCATAATTTTAATGGGTTGAATTTCTATGTACTGCTATTTTGTACGAAAAATGTCAACTACTCAAAAAACACGACTGATAGGATGTTATGATAAATATAAGGGAAATAAATTTATCACGTTAATTTGTAACTATAAATCAGGATAATTCTGAGTCCATACTCCATTTATTCATTTTTAATTGATTATAAAGTGAAAATTTCAGTTAAATACGTGTCACAATAAAAACAGTTTAAGAAAATAATTTCGCCAACCAAAACCAAGCATGTATTACATTTGTACCATTCGATGATACGATATATCTGTAAGTCAAACAAAGGAGAGATCACTCACATTTTCATGATCCAAATGTTTAAGAAGCTTAATCTCACGGAGCGTTCGCTTAGCGTCCATGTGATTATCGAAAGCGTTCGCTATTTTCTTAACAGCCACCAGCTCATTCGTCTCCGTATTCAACAGCGAGCTTCAAAAATCACATCAACGGACTATTCAGATTTCATAATCTCACAAAAACATTAATAAAATAAAAATAAAAAAACAACAAAACCAAACACTCATGCACTAGCCAACATTCAATCACAACCGAATCGGATTCATATAATCAGAGAACCACACAATCTCTCAATTAAACCAATCGCATTTCCAAAACCACAATAACTCGAAGAAAACGAAGCAGTACCAAACGATTCCGTAAGCGCCGCGTCCAATAGGCATGATTGGAGGACGGTACTTCGTCGTAACCTCGAAGAGGTTGCCGAATATGTTATACTGAATGAACTGTCCGCCGTGCGTCGAAACCGCCGGAAAATCAGCTACGCCATTCGGATTACCTCCGGCCATCACTTTCTCCCTCAATGAAACTTTCCCTCTCTAGAAACCGTTCAGAGAAGAGCGTTTTCTCTCTCTTCTCACTCGCGAACCGCACCACCGCGCTTTCTCCCTCTAACAAACTTTCTCTTTCTAGAAACCGTCAAAGAAGAAAGGGATGAAGATAGAGAGTGGAAGAGGCGAGTGGAGCGGTTTTAACTTAAATAGTATCAACGAACGAGTGAGTCACCGAGTCAGTGTGTGCGTGCGTGCGTACGTGTAACTACTTTCGCTCGGTCAACTCGGCCTGGTAAGCACGTTGAGTCTTCACACTCTTTCGGAGCAGGTGCCAGGAAGACGGGGCGAAAACGCGCCATGAGAAGAAAACTAACAGAACGAACCACACACGCACACGTGCGACGCGTTTGGGACTAATCGGACGGCTCTGATTTCAGCCGCCTCTCATCTACGGCCACCGTTTTGTTCAATTATTTCAACAGCCATCAACCTTTCTTTCCTCTTGTATTATTACGTGATTAGTATTGTATGTTCGTCAAAGCCACCTCGTGGATTTTATATTATAGATTTACATAAATAAATAAATCTATAACAATAAATAAATATCAAATGTTATCCTTAGCCTGAAGAAACTGAATAATTGAGTCAGAAGCGTGTAATTATTTTGTACAAATTTTGACTTGTGCCTATTTCCATATATTTAATGTATAACCAATAAAATTATTTGATTCTCTTGTTTGGGCTTTTTGGACCCTTTCATTCACTTAAGATAAATACTTTCGTTAAATTATTTTTTACTATTGCGCAAATAATTGATTAGGATAATAAACAATTCCATTATTTGCTAATCTATCTCTAACAACTACATTAGACAAAGCTGTGCCAGTGACAATGCCAAAAAGTCCACTGCTTTGTCTCGACTAAGTTCATTATTTTTTATATTCTATTGAAATATTTTAAAGTTGAATTATTAGATAATACATCTTATTATATTGTTTTATGGTTAAGTTTACCCCAAAAAAAGATGTAGGGTTAAATATGTTTTTAGTCCCTAAACTATTGGCCGTTTTTGGTTTTCGTCCCTCTTCGAAAGTAAGGTACAATTTGGTCCTCATTCTTTAGAAAAACGTTCGTTTTAGTCCTCAAAATTTTGTTTTTAGTCCTCGTTTTAGTCCTCAAAACGTTCGTTTTTTCGACTAAAACGAACGTTTTTTAAAGATTGAGGACTAAATTGTACCTTACTTTGGAAGAGGGACGAAAACCAGAAACGGTCAATAGTTTAGGGACTAAAAACATATTTAACCCAAAGATGTATTATTACTGAAAGTTTAAGAATTAATGAACTCAAAACACAAAATTAATTTTTCAGTATACAACTTCTGTGAAGAGGTTGTTTTCAGTATTTAAGAAATTTCATGTGTAAACTTCAAGAGAAATTCCTCTTTGCAAATATGAACATAACCTAAATTTAAATCATTTAAATACATTGGTTCAAATTACTAAATTTTAAATCAGAATATTTTTATAATTATTAATTATGAAAATACTTATATAATTCAAATGTTGGACTTAATTT